ACCTGGTCGTGGCCGAGGTTCGCCGTGGCAAAGCCAATGCCCGTTCGTTCTTTTTTTGAGCGTTCTTTATGGAAGCGCAATGGCTGTACTTTCCGTAGCCCTGGGGCCCTCAGGCATCGACCCGGCACAAAAGCAGGCACGAAGACGGTGTCGAGCGCTTCTGTCATGTTTTCGCCGCGTTGCGCGTTCTTTTACGATGTCGGATGTCTGGAGAAAGGCATCGATGCAGAATGCAGCTTCCAGTTTTCTGCGGCCGTTAATTTTTCTGCAACTTTGTTGGAACTGGACCGCAAGGCAAAGACCGACACAATGGCAGTTCAGAGGAGCGGGAGGGCAGTTCAGAGCAAAACGATATTTGGTTACAACTTGCCAACTGTATGCGCAGCGCATCCCCTGGACCCATGACCTCGTTGACCTCCCTTCTCCAGATATTGTCCTCTCCTTTCCCACCATCCCTTTCAGCTTCCGCTCTTCCTTCCCTCCTGTTCCCTTACCTTCTCGTCCTTCTTCCTTCCTGCTCTTGACCTTGCCTCTCCTTCCATCCCTCCATCCCTCCATCCCTCCCACCCCTCCCTTCCCCTCCCTCCATGTCCCGCGATATGCATGGACGGGGGAGCTGCCAAGCGTCTCTGCCTGCCGCGGACCAGCAGTATCCACGTGGTTCACCTGGGAACCTTGCATCTTGAGCCAAAGTGGCTACGGAGGAGGCGGGGAGGAGGAGAAGGAGGAGGAGGAGGAGGAGGAGGCGGAGGCGGAGGCGGAGGAGGAGGAGGGAGGAGGAGGAGGAGGGAGGAGGACGAGGAGGAGGAGGAGAAGGAGGAGGAGAAGGAGGACGAGGTGGAGGAGGAGAAGGAGGCGGACCAGTGTATCCCCAAGATTCATCAACGAGGTTGGAATCAACCCTTCAAACTCTCTCTTCATAGGCCCTTGCAAGGGTTCATTTCGACTGGGGGGCGTGCTCCGAAGGGAGACAGCCGTTTGAAAATCCTGTAGTGTGCCTAAAAAACCGTTCTTTGGATTTCAGCGCCAAGAATCAACCTTGTTATTGCGTCTTGACGATCCTGAATCGTGTCAGAGCGCCGTTCCTGAGACTCTAACACCGCGAATCGATGCAATTGTTGCGCCCTGACAGTCCTAAATCGTTCCAGAGCCCCTCTCTCATGCGTTCACCAAGAGAATAAGTGAAACTCTTGTACATGTTTCAGATGGGCGAGCGCGGCGCTCAGGCGAGAGCCGTATTTTGGAAATGAGCCGCCCTCAAGCCGTGAAGCTCTTGCAACTTTCATGGCGAATGTGTGCGGCGCCGCGGCGAGAGCAATCATTTGAAAGCCACCCGCTCTCCACCTGTGAAGCCTTTGCTTTTTCAGACGAGTGTGCGCGGCGCTAGGGCGAGAGCCACATTTTGAAAACGACCCGCCCTCAATCCGTGAAGCTCTCGCAACGAATGTGCGCGGCGCTGAGGCGCGAGCCACATTTTGAAAACCACCCGCCTTCCATCCGCGAGACTTTTTCACATTTTCAAGACGCGTGTGCGTGGCGGTAGGGCGAGAGCTACATTTTGAAAACGGCCTGCCTGCAATCCGTGAGACTCTCGCACATTTTCAAAATGAATGTACGCGGCACAAAGGCGAGAGCCACATTTTGAAAACGGCCCGCCCTCAATCCGTCGAGCTCTTGCAGTCTTCAAGAACGAATGTGCGGGGGCGCTGAGGCGAGAGCCACACTTTGAGAACGGCCCGCCCTCGATCCGTGCAATTGTGGCACATTCTAAGCTTAAGGATCATCCGTGGTGAAGAAGTCGCAGTCGAAACGCCTGGCCAACCCTTCCGACCGGCCTCGGGTCGCGACAGGGAACAGTAATTCAGAAGGAGAGGAGGAGGAGGAGGAGGAGGAGGAGGAGGAGGAGGAGGAGGAGGAGGAGGAGGAGGAGGAGGAGGAGGAGGAGGAGGAGGAGGAGGAGGAGGAGGAGGAGGAGGAGGAGGAGGAGGAGGAGGAGGAGGAGGGGAGGGGGGGGGAGGAGGAGGACGATTAGAAGGAGGAAGGGGCACGGGAACCAGGGCCGGCAGCGAGGTGGCTGGCCGGGTGACAAGATCGCACAATCGGCTCCGTGCTCCACCTGAAGGAACGGGTCGAGGGACACCATGGAAAAGGTACCATTTTGGGGTCCCCCCATCCCCTCTCCCCCCCACCCGAGAGCTCAGCAGACCTGGTGCGAGCAGCTTCGAGCATCACCCTTCCCAGGTAGCCGCGAAGTCCAGGGGGACATGATTTTGCTGCTGTGGTGCCCATGCTCCATCAGAGAAGCGCCCTTCCAGAGTATCATGCTCCTGAGACCCGTCGCACCTCGCATAATCATGGGACCCGATAGATAGTCCTCATGGTAGAGAAACGTGGAGGTAATCACAAGGTCGGCTTCTTCTTCCTGCTGCCGAGTATGCAATGATGCACGTGGTGGAAGGCCGCGCTTGGCTCATCCAGAATATTCGAACCTGTGGAAGGAACCATAAAGAGGCTTCATATGGTCGAGGCTCAAGCCTTGTCGGGTGCTCTGTTATAGCCGTAGCGCCATATTGGCTTGCCACATGTCTGGGACATTGTGTCGTCTTTAGCAACTCACTGCCTAGCTGTAGCTAAGATACGTCTTTCAACCTCAGCGCACACATTCCCCATGCGAGGGTTTGTCAAGAAAGGGACGGGGTGGGTTTTTGTTTCCTGGGGCCGAGCAAAACCAAGCGACCGACCGCGCTTCGCAGGGTGGTCCAACCCAAACGGCTGCCGCCCTGCTCCCTCACGGGATGTGCCCGCAACGGCATCACTTCTTTTCGAGCCGACTTTCCTCTTATTGTAGGGTTGACGATGCCTCCCCTCCCACACCCTCCCACACCCTCCTCCCCCCATCCTCACCTGGCCCGCCTTGGAAGCGCTGTCGCCTGTGCGGGGAGCGCCAAGATGCTCCTGATAGTGAATGATGGCAGTCGCCCCTTTGTGCGGACGGGAGAGCGGGGAGCGCGGGAGCGTGCGGCTGCGCCACGGTGCACCCTCAAAGGCAGGGCCGTCATCGAGTGCGCGCGATAAGCGAAAATCAGAGGAAGGTGGAGAGCCAAGAGACCGGGTCGGATGTGGACGGGCCCAGCTGACACGCCTCTGCAGAGTCGCTCGTTCGTTCGCTTGGTCTCCTCCTCCTCCTGCTCCTCCTCCTCCTTTCCCTGCCCCTTTTGCTGTTTCTGCCTCCTCTTGCTCCTCCGTCCTCCTGCTTGACCCTCTTTGCGAGCAGGTGGACGTGTACTCCTTCGGCATATTAGCGTACGAGGTCCAACGGGCGCTGGTCCAGGGAGGAGGAGGAAGGGGATGAGGAGGGGGAGGAAGGAGGAGGGAGAAGGGAGAAGGCGGAAGAGGTCGAGGAGTAGGGGGAGGAGGAGGAGGAGGAGGAGGAGGAGACAGCGCAGACAGATGTGGAGGAGGAGAAGGAGGAGGAAGAGGAGGAAGAGGAGGAAGAGGAGGAAGAGGAGGAGGAGGAGGAGGAGGAGGGAGGCCCAGGAAGAATAATATTCATGTGCTGATTGCCCGTGCGCCAGCGTGTTGTGTTGTTTGTTGCCGTTGTGTAGGGGGTTGGGCGGGGTCATTGCTGTTTTGGGGCTCTCCTTGTATCATTGCGCGCAGCAGCAGAAGTGCTAACATAGGTCGGCAGCGCCGATCAGACAGCGCAGCAATTACTTGCCCGTGGTAGAAGCATCAGCAGACATCCGCTCCACTACACTGACAGTTCATGAGTGTGCAGGCCACATTTGCAATGTGATTGAAGAGTGTGGTATTTGGTAGCACTGCGTTTGGGGCCCTTGCTTCTGATTCTGTGAGAGCGCTCCCTAAGATCACAGTCTGGAGCACACGTGCAAGACACTTAGTGTGTTGTTTCGCGCAGCCAAGATGGCAGGCACAGCGAAACCCATTGATTAGCCCAAAGTCACTGCAAGCTCAGAGTTGCATGCGATTTTGAGTTGACCCCCGCTGCTCCCTCTCCTGCCTCCTGCCTCCTCCTCCTTCTCTTCATCCTCTCCTTCTTTCTCTTCCAATTTCTTTTCCTCGATGGGGAGAGGAGGGGAGGCGAGGGGGTTCCCCGACGTCCACCTTCGTGAACGCATCGCAACGTCGCGACAATATCGCGATCCGAGATCTCGGTCCAGTCTCCGCGTTTGTTGTCTCGACCAGGATCGATCCGAGAGCGTCCCAGGACCCCGAAGCGGAGCGAGAAGGCCCGTCGTGTTTTTTCGAGGCGCCTGGGTGTTGGGGTCCTACCTCCCCCCAGGCATCCGCTCAAAACCAGTCTCGGAACCCCTCCTGGTCACCATCTTGAGGGCGGACGCGGGCCGACCAGAGCCCCCGAGGTGCTCGTGCAGAAGGTGCCCTACGCCGCCGAGTTCCCAGACCTCAAGGACGCGGACCCCCGAATGGGCCTCCGGGTGCCATCGGCCTGGGAGGAGGAGGATGAGAAGGAGGAGGTTGATGAGGAAGAGGATGAGCATGAGGATGAGGATGAGGATCAGGATGAGGATGTGGATGTGGATGATGATAAGGAGGATGAGGAGGAGGATGAGGATGAGGATGCGGATGCGGATGAGGATGAGGATGAGGATAAGGATGATGACGATGATGACGATGATGATGATGATGATGATGATGATGAAGAAGATGATGATGATGACGGTGATGCTGAAAATTATGATCATGATGCTGATAATGATGATGACGATGCTGATGATAATGATGATGATGTAACTGCTGCTGATGATGAAGACGATGCTGCTGATGATGCTGGTCATGCTGACTACGATGATGATGGTAATGATGACAATGATGATGCTGGTGACGATGAATCTGATGATGCTGATGATGATGCCGATCATGATGATGCTGCTGATGATGATTATTGTGATGGCGACGGCGACTACGAGGATGGTGATAATGATGATGACGGTGATGCTGATGATTCTGCCGCTGATGATGATGCTGATGATACTAGTGCTGATGCTGATAATGAGGATGAGGACGATGATGAGGAGGATGACGATGATGATAGCAATACTGATTACGGTGTTGATGATACTGTTGTTGCTGCTCTTGCTAATGATGATGATCATGCTGATCGTGACGATGATGATGGTGCTGCTGATGATGATGATGCTGATGCTGATGACGATGATGATGATGATGATGATGATGATGATGATGATGATGATGATGATGATGCTGGTGGTGATGCTAATGATGGCGATGTTGATGCTGCTGATGATGATCATTGTGATGGCGACGACGACTCCGAGGATGGTGATAATGACGGTGATGCTGATGATGATGCTGCTTATGATGATGCTGATGACACTAATGATGATGCTGATAATGAGGATGAGGACGATGATGGGGAGGAGGATGACGATGATGATACTGATGATGAGGGATGGTGATGAGGATGCTGATGATGATGATTCTGCTGCTGATGATTGTGCTGATGGTGATGATGCTGCTGATGATGTTGATAAGGCTGCTGATGATGATGCTGATGATGATGCTGATGATGATGATGATGATTATGCTGCTGTTGCTAATGATGATGATGCTGCTGATGATGATCATGATGCTGATGACGATGTTTATAACGACTATGTCGAGGATGATGATAATGCTGCTGCTGATGATGCTGCTGCTGATGATGATGATGGTGACGACTATGATGCTGATAAGGATGATTATGAGGATGATGATGCTGCTGATGATGACGATGATGATGATGATGATGATGCTGAGGACGATGATGATGAAGATGAACATGATGATGAAAACGACGATGATGATGACAATGATGATGATGATGATGATGATGATGATGATGATGATGATGATGAGGATGAGGATGATGATGATGATGATGATGATGATGATGATGATGATGATGATGATGATTATGATGGTGATGATGATGATGATTATGATGATGATGATGGTGGTGGTGGTGGTGGTGGTGGAGGTGATGCTGATGCTGATGATGATGCCGTTGATGCTGATAAGGAGGATGAGGATGAGGATGAGGATGAGGATGAGGATGAGATGAGGATGAGGATGATGATGATGATGATGATGATGATGATGATGATGATGATGATGATGATGATGATGGTGGTGGTGGTGGTGGTGGTGGTGATGATGATGATGATGATGATGATGTTGATGATGATGATGATGATGATGCCGATCATGATGATGTGGTGGTGGTAGTGGTGGTGATGATGAGGAGGAGGAGGAGGAGGGGGAGGATGACGAGGAGGTGGAGGACGAGGATGCCCCACTGCAAGTTCCAGAAGGCCCTCACCGCAAGGATCGACAAGAAAAACGATGATTCGTTGCTGATGTCCCCGAGGGCCAAACGAGAGGGCACTGTTTCGCTCCTGCGGCGGGCTCCTCAGAGTGGCAGACAGCTTCGCCAAGGCAGGCCCGCGAGCGCCTGGACGACGCGGACTTCAGGGACGCTGCGCGGACCCTCCTGGGATAAGGCGCCGCGCTGCCTGGGGCCACCTGCTTCAACCGCACCCGCACGGGCGAGCGAGCGCGCCAGCCAGCGCTGCGGCGAGGCGCTCTGCGGCAAGGCCCGCCGCGCCTGGCGCTCCCCGCTCGGCGGGGGCCTGAAGGCCCGCAGCGAGGACTTGGAGTGGGCCTGGCAATGCGTCTACATGGAGTGCGGCCACCATGCCGAGTGCCAGGTCCACGTCTGAGCCTGGAGCTGCTGGAAAATGGCGCTATGCCAGGTGTAGCGCGCGCGGGATCCCCCGGCGCGGCTGGCTGCTGCTTGCCCCGCCTGTGGCCACGGCCTGGCTGCCGAGCGCGAGGCCCTCCTGGACCTGGACCGGCCGCGCACTTTCTTCGATGTCATCGTCAGGTACACTGTACCTGGTGCCGTCGACGCGCTGCAGGCCGCCTGCGGCCGCGACGGGGCAGTGAATGCCGCCGCGGAGGCGGACAGGCACCGCCAGTACCCGGAGATGCAGGCGTCCTTCCGAATGGTGTTCCTGGCGCTGGAAACCGCCAGCCGGCACGGCCAGGCGGCGCTGCGGCACCTCCGCAGCCTGGCCAGGAACATGCCGCGCTGCTGGCGCCATGCGACGACGCCGCGTCGGAGAACGCCGCGGGGCTGCTGGTGGCCTGGTGGGCCTGGGAGTTGAGCGGAGCCTTCCACCGGGCCGCGGCGCAGCAGCTCTTGACCGCCCTGGGGGCGGACAGGGCTGGCCGAGCCGCCGAACTGCTAGCTGTCGCGGCGGCGTCTGGTGTGCTGTTGGGTGTTTGCCTTCTCTTAGAACTTCGCTTGCAACTTCGTCGTCGCGGCACACGTGGGGCAATCTTCGTGTGCGGGCGGGCGCGGAACACACCTGCTTCGGCCCTGCGAGAAGGAGGAGGAGGATGAGGAGGAGGAGGAGGAAAATGATGATGATGATGATGATGATGATGATGATGATGATGATGATGATGATGATGATGATGATGATGATGATGATGATGAGGAGGAGGAGGAGGAGGAGGAGGAGGAGGAGGAGGAGGAGGAGGAGGAAGAGGAGGAGGAGGAGGAGGATGAGGAGGAGGATAGAACGCCATATGCGGACGCATAAGGTTTGGCCAACGCAAAAAGAGGAGGAGGTGGAGGAAAAGGAGGAGGAGGGGGAGGAGGAGGAGGAGGAGGAGGAGGAGGAGGAGGAGGACGACGACGACGAGGAGGAACGGGAGGAGTAGGAGGAAGAGGAGGAGGAGGAGGAGGAAGATGAGGAGGAGGAGGAGGAGGAGGCGGAGGACGGAGAGGAGGAGGTGGAGGGGGAGGAGGAGTAGGATCGTATTTCGAGGTGGATGAGGAACGGGAGAGGAAACCCACAAGAGAGTAAAGCGGGAAATTGGAGAACTGGCGACGGTGCCCCAGCCGTCCATCCAGCGACCAGTCCAAGCGCAGTTGCTTGTTCTCCAATCATGGCTACTCCCTTCATAGCGCTCGGAGCGGGCCTCCGTCGGTAGCTCGGGCTCGCTGGCGCGGGCGCCAACGAGCGATGCATTCTTCGATGTCCTTTTCCTCGAGGCCGCATGCTGGTAGGACCCTTGTCTCTGCGTGCCAGCATCTTGGCGTCCTGCTGCCTGCTGGTCTGGCTGCTGGGCCTGCCGCCGTGGCGCAGCCAGCAGCTGCCCCGAGGCACGGTGTGAGGCCTTCGGGGAAGGGGTCCTGCAGCCACCTCCTCCTCCTCCTCCTTCTCCTCCAGTGTCGCGGTGGTGGGCCCGTGGCGGCGCGCTTCGTGCCGCATGCTCCGCATCTCGGGCACGCCACCAGGGTGGGTCTGGTGGCCGGCCGGGGGCGGTATGGCACCGACGGCCTCGAGCAGGTGCGAAGGCGCCGCTCCTGGGCCAGCTGCCTCGTGGCGCCCTCGGATCCCGGGCGGTGCGGGCCTCTTTGGGGGCGGCCAAGAGGGGGGGTGATGATGACTAGGGGGGGTGGATATCATGGCGTGGGCCATGCTATTTCCTCAGATTTCATGGCGCCTCTACTTATTTCATTACGTCTCTGCGCCCCCCCCCCTGGGCCGCGCACATGCCACCAGCCATGATTTGCGCCCCCCGCTCTTGGACGCCCCCCCCTTGGCCGCTCCCGACCTCTTGTCTGGCGCCCCCGTCTGTGGTGTTGGGGTGCCATCAGTGGCAGTGACGGGCGACTGGCGTCCTCCCTGCGGCGCCTGCGGCTGGGCTTAAGTCGGGCATGTCCCTCTACAGGAAGAGTATTCCAGAATATCTGTTAGCCTGTTTTTAATTTTTCTTCCAAGCTCCGCCTGTAGGAGGACTAGCCCCACCTAATGCTACCGGTGACAGTGGTGGGCGACCAGCGTCCTCCCCCCGGCGCCCGCGGCTGGGCATCCAGGTCGTCGCAATCCTCGCGTTCTCTGGCTTTCCCAGGCCCCTGGCAGCGTGCTTTCTGGCGACCCCGTCTGCGGTATTGGGGTGCTTTCGGTGAAAGTGGCGGGCGACTGGCGTCCTCCCTCCTGCGCCTGCGTCTGGGCTTCCAGGTCGTCGCAATCCTCGCGTCCTCCGCCTTTGCCTGGCCCCCGTCAGCGTGCTTGCTCGAGACGGTGGAGCCCTGGAGGTCTCGTCCCTTCCCCCGGGACTTGCTCTTCATCCCGAGCTGTTTTTGGCGGCCCTGAGCTTCGGTGAGGGCCCCCAGAGACCGAAATAGTCGAGAACCCTCCGTAGTGATTTTCTCAAGCCTTTGGGGTGGCCTCGGTGACCTCGAGGAACCTCAGCAGGTTTTACCTACTTTTTCACTGCTGGCCCATGACCTTTTGGTCAGGGGGAGGGCAGGAGGGAAAGAGGAAGGAACAGGAGGAGTAGCAGAAGGAGGAGGAGGAGGAGGAGGAGGAGGAGGAGGAGGAGGAGGAGGACGATGATGACGGTGATGAATGTGGTGGTGGTGCTGATGGCAGTGGCAACGGTGACTGTGATGGTGACGATGGCGGAGGTGATGACGATGGCGACGATGACGATGCCGGAGAGCCGAGACGGCAGAGGGCGCGCGATGGTGGAACACCCGCTCGGCACGGGGCTCCCAGGTCTCGGGCCGAACGAGAAGGGGGGGGGATAGAGGGGAAGGGGGGTTACGAAATCTGCTGCACGCAGCCGGTTTCGGCCCCACCGAGGGGGCCCCTTCCTCGCCGCACGGCCGCCTCCTTGGCGCCGGGAGGCGCCGGGAAAGTCAGTCATGCGTGAGCCGATCCTCAGTCTCCCCCCTCTGCCACCCCTCCTTTTTCCTTGCCCGGCCCGAAGGCCACGGCGTGCTCGCACTCGAGGCTCCCGTCCGCTGCCCGGCCGTCTCGCCCCTCGCCCCGAGCCCCTCTCGCCGTGCGCCCTCGATCGGCCGCGCTCCGCGCTCCGCGCTCCGCTCCCCGCCCGCTCTCGTGGGGGTGGGTGCTTCTCCGAGGTGCTGGACGGGCTGCGGCCCGACGTCTCGGAGCTGAACCCGAAGTTCCCTCTGGTGGGCACCGGGACGTGCAGCAATTTTTGCCGTCGCGCCATTTTCTGCGAATCTCTCTCTCTCTCTCTCTCTCTTCCTCCCTCTCAATCTCTCTGTCTCCCTCTCTCTCTCACTCTCTTTCTCTCTTCCCTGTCTCCCCCCTTCCTCTTTTGTTTGCTCTCTCTGTCTCTCTGTCTCTCTCTCTCTCTCTCTTTTTCTCTTATCCTACCTCTCCCTCTCTCTCTCTCTTCCCCCCCCTCTCTCTATATCTCCCTCCTCGTTTCTCTCCATGGATTATGCACGCCGTGCACTGATTGTCCAGGTGTCTCGACTTGGGAAGCCTCTGTAGGAGTAGCGGCAAGAGTCAAACTAGCCAACCAGTCCGAACCAGTCAGCGGGCCCCGCCCATTCCCAACCCGCCCTCTCCCATGCAACATGAAGTCAATGTTTGCACACATGGATTTTTGGGGACCAGCGAGCGCTCCCACACTAGCGAACGGGAGGGCGCTCGTGCGCGCGCGCGGCCCCGCTTCCGACGACGTGGCGAAGGAACGAGCCGTGACCGCGAATATGCGGCAAATTCGAGGGAAGAAGCACGGGGACCATGGCCAGGATGTCGCAGGACCTCTCCAGGTCGAAATTGTGAACAAAATCATGACGCCGGGGGTCTGGGTCTCCTCCGTCTCCTCCTCCTCCTCCTCCTCCACCACCTCCTCCTCCTACTCCTGCTCTCCCTCCACCACCACCTCCTCCTCCTTCTCCTCCTCCTCCTTCTCCATTCTGGCAGTCGCCGGTTCATGAGGGCGATCCACGAAATTACGCTGACCAAATTCGACGGTGACGAAGATCGACACGACGTTTACGCGTTTAGTGTTGGTCATGGCCCCCGTTTTCTTCCCAGCTCCTAGAACGTCCCTGCGCGGTGATGGGGCCACAGCGGCACCGAGTTTCTCCCCGCGCAGGGTTGGTTATCGCGGAACGCGGGCCGCGCTCAAGCGGCAGCGTAACTTTCCAGCGCAACTCTGCGAACGAGAGGCCCAGGCGCGTCCCCGCTTCCGACGACCAGGCGAGCGAAAACGATGCGCCGCGCCCTTGCGGGAGCGCCACTTTCAGGCGAAGCCCGTGCGGCGGCTCTTCGAGAGCGACGCTTCGTCCGCTCGGGCGCGGTCCCCCGTCCGAGCACTGGCCAGCGGACGGCCCCCGGTCCCCTGTGCGCCGCGGCCCGGAGGGAGCGCAACTTTCAGCAGCATGTGCGCGGCTCCGAGGCGACAGCGGCATGTCAACATTCCGCTCGCGATGGGCGCTACGTCCCGTTCCCGCCGCGCGTTTTACGAGGTCGACGACAGCACGTTCACCTTGAACGGTTAATGGGTAGGACGGAAGGGCCCGGATTGTTTTCTATCGGCTGGCCAGGTTGCGGAGCTGGAGTATAGGTTAATAGGGAACAGTGATCGGAGTTGGATGTGTAGGAGGAGGATGTTGTTGATGATGATGATGCTGCTGATGATGATGATGGTGATTCTGAGGACGAGGAGGGATTGTGGAAGTGGGATGCTGCAGCTGATGATGATGCTGATGGTGATGGTGGTGATGATGAGGCTGATGATGAGGATGATGATGCTGATGATGAGGATGATGATGATGCTGATGATGAGGATGAGGATGATGATGATGATGATGATGATGATGATGATGATGATGATGATGATGATGATGATGATGATGATGATGATGATGAGAAGGAGGAGGAGGAGGAGGAGGAGGAGGAGGAGAAGGTCGTCATCGTCGTCTTTATTCCCCTCCTGCTCCTCCTCTCTCTTCTTCGTGCTCTCCGCAGCCTTGTCGCCCAGCAAGGGGGCTGGCGCTCAGGCTGTTCGGACTTCTTCTTGTGGTGTGGTGTGCTGTTCGGGGTTGGCCGAATGCAGCCTTCTGTGTCGCTCTGATCTGCATCCTCTCTGGAGGAGGAGGAAGAGGAGGAGGAGGAGGAGGAGGAGGAGGAGGAGGAGGAGGAGGAGGAGGAGGAGGAGGAGGAGGAGGAGGAGGAGGAGGATGGGGATCCAGTGGGCGCTGCCGCGCTGATCATGCCTGGAGAAAACGAGACACCAGAGGCAAGGGAGAGACGAGCACTACGGACGGCGCTGGCAACGTAATGTAATACAAGCACCAGCAACATTGCGGCCCTCCAAGCGGCACAGCACAGCGAATCATGTGCAGCAGTCGTCAGCCGCATGTTCTCTTCAGTATTGCTGTTGTGGAGTAGTTGCGCAAGTGTGGGTCCAACACAAACAGATCAGGGATCGGCACGGTCGGACAAGGATGCGTGCAAGCAGGGACCATAGCAGGGACCATAGTTGCATGTAGCTTGCGCTGGGGAGGGTGGGGGGAGCCATCTCCATAATATACAACTTGCAGACGCCAGGTGCTGACAGAGATCATGGTGAAATGCTGGGCCGACCAGCCTTCATCGAGACCTGCATTTCAGGAGAACGTTTGGAATCCGAACGCCGAGCCAAGAGAAGGAGGAGCCTGAGGTAGAGGAGTATAGGATATGGCGGCAGAGTATAATTTGCCTTCGGCACAACGGTTGCCCAAGGACAATGTGGAAGGGGCGGATCAGCGTCGCAGACACACCAACTAGTCTCAAGATCCATGTCGGCAGTGTCAGCAATAGTAGCATTTTTTTGTTGTTGTGGCAACCCGCCTGTTCCCCCCCCCAGCCCTCGGCTCCTAGTTTTGAACACGCAGCGGGGCGCCTCACCTCATTCCTCTTTCCAGCCTCCTCCGCCTGCTCCTCCTCCTCCTCCACCTCCTCATCCTGATCCTCCTCCTCCTCCTCCTCCTCCTTATCCTCCTCCTCCTCCGCCTCCTCCTCATCCTCATCCTCACCCTCATCTTCATCCTCGTCCTCATCATCATCATCATCATCATCATCATCATCATCATCATCATCATCATCATCATCATCATCATCATCATCATCATCATCATCATCATCATCATCATCATCATCATCATCATCATCATCATCATCATCATCATCATCATCATCATCATCATCATCATCATCATCATCTCATCATCTGCATCATCATCGTTATCACCATCATCATCATCATCATCATCATCATCATCATCATCGTCATCATCATCATCATCACAATCATCACCATTATCATCATAATCAGAATCATCATCAGCATCATCATCATCATCATCATCGCCATCATCCTCCTCCTTCCCCTGCCCTATGTCCGCATCCCAGCTTGGGCACACCGCTCACGCGCTTTCTGCCCCCCCCCCCCAGGAGGAGCTGCACAACCGCTCACCCGTGAGGGCTCCAGATGTGGACGCACGCCCCATGTCGGAAGGGCACACCCCTCGCACGGACCGTGCCCCACATTGGGCTCCTCCTCCTCCTCCTCCTCGTCATCATCATCATCATTCTCATCCTCATCCTCATCCTCATCCTGATCTTCATCCTCATCTTCATCCTCATCCTCATCCTCATCATCATCAGCATCATCATCATCATCATCCTCATTATCACCATCACCATCATCATCATCACCATCATCACCATCACCATCGTCATCATCATCATCATCATCATCCTCATCCTCATTCTCACCATCATCATCATCAGCAGTTTCATCATCAGCATCAGCATGATCATCACCACCACCATCACCATCACCACAATCATCATCATCACCATCATCATCATAATCATCATCATCAGCATCATGATCATCCTTACCATCATCCTCATCCTCATCCTCATCCTCATCCTCATGCTCATCCTCATCCTCATCCTCATCCTCATCCTCCTTCTCATCCTCCTCCTCCTCATCCTCATCCTCATCATCATAATCCTCCTCCTCCTCCTCATCATCATTATCACCATCATCGTCATCATCATCATCATCAGCATCATCATCATCATCATCATCGCCATCATCCTCTCCCTTCCCCTGCCCTATGTCCACATCCCAGCCCCGGCACACCGCTCACGCGCTTTCTGCTCCCCCCCCACCCAGGGGGAGCTGCACAACCGCTCACCCGTGAGGGCTCCAGATGCAGACGCACGCCCCATGTCGGAAGGGCACACCCCTCGCACGGACCGTGCCCCACATTGGGCTCCGCCTTCTCCTTCTCATCGTCATCATCATTCTCATCCTCATCCTCATCCTCATCCTCATCCTCATCCTCATCATCATCAGCATCAGCATCATTATCACCATCACCATCACCATCATCATCATCCTCGTCCTCACCATCGTCATCACCAGCAGCTTCATCATCAGCAGCATCACCATATCATCTCCATCACCATCACCATCACCATCACCATCACCATCACCATCACCATCACCATCACCATCACCATCACCATCACCATCACCATCACCAATCACCATCACCATCACCATCACCATCACCATCACCATCACCATCACCATCACCATCACCATCACCATCACCATCACCATCACCATCACCATCACCATCACCATCACCATGACCGTCATTACCATCATTATCATCATCATTATTATTGTTATCATCGTCATCCTTATCAACATCGTCATCATAATCATCCCCACCATCCTCATCCTCATCCTCATCCTCATCCTCATCCTCATTATCATCCTCATCATCATCTCCATCCTCATCCTCCTCCTCATCCTCCTCCTCGTCCTCCTCATCCTCATCCTTATCCTCGTTCTCATCCTCATCCTCATCCTCATCGTCACCATCATCATCATCATCATCATCATCATCATCATCATCATCATCATCATCATCATCATCATCAGCATCAGCATCATCATCATCATTATCATCCTCTCCCTGCCCCTACCCCATGTCCGCATCCCAGCTTTGGCACACCGCTCACGCGCTCCCTGCCCCCCCCCCACCCCAGGGGGAGCTGCACAGCCGCTCACCCATGAGGGCTCCAGATGCAGACGCACGCCGCATGTCGGAAGGGCACACCCCTCGCACGGACCGTGCCTTACCTTTTGCTCCTCCTCCTCCTCCTGCTCATCATTCTCATCCTCATCCTCATTCTCATCTTCATCCTCATCCTCATCATCATCAGCATCATCATCATTATCACCATCACCATCACAATCATCATCATCATCATCACCATCATCATCATCCCCACCCTCCTCATCATCACCAGCAGCTTCATCATCATCAGCATCACCATAATCATCACCATCACCATCACCATCACCATCACCATCACCATCACCATCACCATCACCATCATCATCATCATCATCATCATCATCATCATCATCATCATCATCATCATCATCATCATCATCATCATCATCATCATCATCATCATCAGCATCATCATCATCATCACCATCATGATCATACTCATCATCATTATTTCTAGCATCATCATTCTTATCGTCATCATCATCATCATCATCACCAGCATCATCATCATCATCCTCATCCTCATCCTCATCCTCATCCTAATCCTCATCCTCCTTCTCCTCGTCCTCCTCCTCCTCATTCTCATCCTCATCCTCGTCCCATGATCTCATCTTCATCCTCATCCTCCTCCTCCTCCTCATCATTCTCATCCTCATCCTCATCCTCATCCTCATCCTCATCCTCATCCTCATCCTCATCCTCATCCTCATCCTCATCCTCATCCTCATCCTCATCCTCATCCTCATCCTCATCATCAGCAGCAGCATCATCATCATCATCATCATCATTATCACCATCACCATCACCATCATCCTCATCATCATCATCATCATCCTCATCCTCATCCTCATCATCATCATCATCAGCAGCTTCATCATCATGAGCATCACCATTACCATCACCATTACCATCACCATCACCATCACCATCACCATCATCATCATCATCAGCATCATCCTTATCATCATCCTCATCATTATCATCCTTATCATCATCATCCTTATCATCATTCTCATCCTCATCCTCGTCCTCATCCTCATCCTCATCCTCATCCTCATCCTCATCCTCCTTCTCGTCCTCCTCCTCCTCATCCTCATCCTCATCCTCGTCCTCATCATCCTCATCCTTATCCTCATCCTCATCGTCATCATCATCATCATCATCATCATCATCATCATCATCATCACCATCATCCTCTCCCTGCCACAAACCCCATGTCCGCATCCTAGCTTCGGCACACCGCTCACGCGCTTTCTCCCCCCCCCCAGGAGGAGCTGCACAACCGCTCACCCGTGAGGGCTCCAGATGCGGACGCACGTCCCATGTCGGAAAGGCACATCCCTCGCACGGACCGTGCCCCACCTTAGGCTCCTCCTCCTCCTCCTCCTCCTCCTCCTTTTCCTCCTCCTCCTTCTCCTCCTCCTCCTCCTCGGTGCGGCCCCCCGCCCGTTCCGGCACGCCCCCTCCACGCGACTCGCGAGGGAGCTCCTCGCGGCTCTCTCTGCGCGCCTGCCCAGCAGCCCCCGCGTCCCCGTCTGCGACGAGCTCCATCTCTCCCGCGGCGAGCAGCATGCGAGGAGAGGGCCACGCCGTTCGATGCACGCAGCTACATCGGATCGGGCCCTTCGTCGGACCACTTTCCATTTTGATTTCCATGGGTTCGCTGCCCACCCGCAGCGTGTTCTTGACATCGCAGGTCCTTTGAGCTCTGGGCTTGTCCTGTTGCACCGTGGGGGTGCCGATTTGTATGATGCTGATGCTGTGGGGTTTTCTAAGCCGCAGTCGAGGCACAGGCAGCTTCAATAGAGCACGGAGGGGGGAGCGAGATGAGCCAGGAATGACACCAGGAGGAGGGGATGGAGGACAGGCAGCAACTCCCATGGTGCCCCACTGCAGTTTGCATCTCCAGAGTCAGAGCGGAAATCGTCTCAGTATCGGGGGAAGCCGTCGTCGCCGGTCGGTACTGCCAAGCCATACAGGGTCGGGTCAAAATATATTGGTGCGGGCTTTCTCTTGCAGTGCGACCTGGTAGGTGGTCGAGCGAATGAGACCAGTGGCTGTCCGGAGCAAGGCTGTGTTCTTCTCTCGCCATTTGCTTCATATTTCTTGCCTCCGCGGGGACCCCTCTTCGCTTCGCCGTCCTTGTCCTCCGTTCTTTCACATCCCTGCCTGCCCCCTCCTGGCCATCGCCCCCTTCCCCTTCCACTTCCTTTCCTTCTTCTGGCCCCCTTCTGCTCGTTCCATCCCTCCTCCGTCCCTCTCCCCTTGTCCCTCTCCTACTTTCCGGATCTTTTTCCATGCTCCCTCCTCCACCCTCTGCCTCCTATTTTCTCTTCTTTTTCCTCCCTCCTCCTCCTCCTGTATTCTCCTTTTTCATGAAAGAGATGTTTCAGAACTCCCTCGGTGACTCGTGATGTCCTTCGGCTTATGCAGTGTTTTGCCTTGCGCGGAATTGCAGAGGTCGCTTTTCCAAGGCATTGGGTCGCCTTGAATTACCCGTCTTGCAGTATCGACGACGCCTGCGGC